AAGCTGAAACAGATTCTTTCCACCCCAGAGTTGCTTTTAGTCATAGGGTTTTCCATGGCAACAGAAAGCAAACTAGAGCACTTAGAACCCCAAAGTGGTAGGGTAGAAACTCACTCTCCACTGGCAAACCCGAGGGGGCAGCCAGGGCCCACTGGGCATCTCTTAGAAAGGACACGGTGAAAGCTGGCTTCACACAAGGAACTGAAAAGGCATTGGCTGTTACTAATATGGATATTGACTGAGAATAAAATCAACCCAGTGAAGAACAAATATATATATATATATATATATATATATATATATATATGTTTGAATTTGGTGATAATCAGGCTTCTAACTTGAAAGGCACAAATTCAATCTTGAAAATGGTCTCTGAGATGTTCCAAAATAGTGGCTGTATTGATAGCTTTGCTGACAGGGCAGCTGGAAATTATACTGCTTGTCAAAAATTATGATAGATACTGGAAAAAGTCAGGCTGTCTAGTAGACATGGTTTTGGGTGCTCTCTCAGTATCTGTGTAATTTGGTGGAAGAGGTCTGTTGTACTGAGAAGACAGTTAACCATGTTTGAGGTAACTGTTGCTCAGGTCAAGGGTTTACTTTCAGATATCCAAGATCTGATGAACCATGGCCTCCAATACTGTGTTACATGCCCAAACCAATGCTCTTCCATTTTGACTTTTCATTGACAATACATACTAGTTATTTTTTAAAGAAAGATTAATGAATTTTACCTATATGTATTTATGTGTGCCACATGTGTGCAGTGCCCATAGAGGTAAGAGGAGGCTGTGATTCCCTGGAACTAGAGTTACAGACAGCAAGGGTGATGAGAGCTGAACTCGGATGCTTGGCCAAAGCAGCAAGTGCTCTTCACTACTGGGTCATCTCTCCAGCTCTCCAGTCATTTCTTTTTCTTGTCTGTATGTAAATAGGCATGTCAAAACAGAAACCTGACTTTCGTGTGTGTATGCACATGTGTGCCCATGTTGGGGAAGATCAACCTCCCATGTTGTCCCTCAGACGCTGTCCACCTTATTGTTTGAAGCAGGATCTCAGTTTCCCAGGCGGGGCTGGCGAGCTGCAGGGATCTGCCTGTCTCTGCACGTCACGCTGGAGTTAAAGCACGTGCCACCATGTCTGGCTTTTTCACATGGTCTCTGGAGGTTGAGTTCAGGTCCTCATGACTGCATGACAAAGCACTTTACCAAGGGAGCTCTCTCTCCAGACCATAGAGACCTTACCCATAGCCACCTCAGTCTGGTTTAACATTGCATGTTGGTACGTCTTGCTCTTTGTGAAGCCCGATTTCTGTGCTATAGAACACAGTGCCTGCAACCCTTACAGTTGCTCCTCGCTGTAAGTTCAACAGGACAAGAACAAAGTGTGTGCAGATTCAGCTTATTTGGCTGAATTTATTCATTTGAACAAGATAGAGACATCAGAGAGAAGTCTGTTTAAATCACAGTGGGACAAGCACACACAGCTCTGGTTCAGTGGATGAGCCTCTATTTTCAACATCCATCCATGCCCATGTGTGCGACAGGAGGCTGCCTAACCTGGAGAGTAGATGTATACATGCTTCCCCAAATAGCAATTCTTACTCTAAAAGAAAAACTGTCACTTAAAAAACAAACAAACAAAACACTTAAAGGTGCTCCCTTAGGCTTGTAATCCCTAAGTGTAAACTCAGTCTCAAAGCATTCTCCCAGGTTGGTCAGATCACTTAGAGCATTGGTTCTCAGTCTGTGGGTCGAGACCCCTTCGAGGGTTGAACAACTCTTTCACAGGGGCCGCCTAAGAGCATCCACACATCAGATAATAACATTATGATTCAGAACAGTAGCAAAATTACAGTTACTAATAATTTTATGGTTGGGGTCAACACAAGGTGAGGAACTGTAGAAAGGACAGCAGCATTCAGTGGTGGCGCACGCCTTTAATTCCAGCACTGAAGGCAAGGCAGGTAGATCTCAGTGGATTCGAGGCCTGCCCAGTCTACCAAGCGAGTTCCAGGCCAGTCAGGACTGTTACACAGAGAAATCCTGTCTTGAGAAAGGGTTGCAACGTTAGGAAGGTAGAGAACAACTGATCTAGAGGGATACTCAACACTGGAGAAGATGGAGCACTGAAATGAATGAATGACTTATGTAAAGGTAATTTTGCTGCATTGCACATATCACACAGGACTCGAAAGTGGAGGTGGTGGTTTTGCTTGTTTTTTTTTTTTTTTTTTTTTTTTTTTTTTTTTTTTTTGGTTTCTTGCTGATAAGTGCTTCTCATAAGGAGCACTATCCTATGTTGGCCTGGGTTAAAATGAGTTGTCTGTTCAACGGCTAGTTATACTATGGCCCACCTGGGTGGGCACCTGTGAAGTGTGACCTGCCTTCAGAATGGTCAAGCTGAGACCTATGATCCTTGCTGCATAAGCCACCAGCTTCTCCACTGCCTAGGCCTGAGATGGAAGAAAGCTGAAGCCAGAGATTTGGGGATAACCTGGAGAGTGCAGATCTGTTTGCCTTTTTCTGTGCAGTGCCCCAAATCTGTGAACACCCCCGAGTGGTTTTAAATATAGCTTGGAATATGATAAGTGTGTGTTTGCTGCTGGGTCTCTTAGGTGTTGATGAAGAGTTTGACAAAGTTTCCTAGCAACTTCCCAGCTCAGTGTCGTCTGCTTTCTACTCCAGATGCACAGTCCAGACACCACACAGTTCTGGCTTCTTTCTGGACAGCTACCAAGTGACAGGAATCCTTATCCCAAAGCACCTTTATCTTCAGCTGCCTCTCTCTCTCTCTCTCTCTCTCTCTCTCTCTCTCTCTCTCTCTCTCTCTCTCTCTCTCTCTCTCTCTCTCTCTCTCTCTCTCTCTCATCTTCAGAGAGGTACTGGGTGGCCTTCTGCACGGTATCAAGAGCTGTGTGAAGCTGCAGGCCACCTCCGAGCAGGGATTGCTCTGACTCAGACTCCCCTGGTGCCACATGAGCTCCTAAAGAGCTTTGTTGTTGTTTTTATATTTGGGGAAGAGTAGGTTTCCTGATTTGGCAAAGTGGACCCTGGGAGTAATCTCCATGTGAGGAAGTGAGATGGATCTAAACAGGTATTTTAAGACTGACGTGTGCTCACTTCCCACGTGGGAACTGATGGTAACTCACAGCGCGGCAGTTCCCTTGGAGAAGCAGGTTGAGAGCCACAGTTGGAATCTGCAATGTCTCCCAAAGCTCCTGTGTTAGAGGCTGGTCCCTGGCTCTGTGTTAGGGGACGCAGAGGAACTTTTAAGATGGGGTTTGCTCAGGATGCTCTCAGGTCACTCACTAGGTGTGTGCCCCTGAAGGGGAGCGTGGGACTCCAGCTCCCTCTCCTCAACCTTTGCTCTTGACTGACCAAGACCACCCCACCCCACCCACTTTGCTCTTGGTTGAGAAGCCAGTGGCTCTGCTCTAGTCTTTGTTCCTTCCTGCCACAGTGCGCTATCTCAGCACCGGCCCCAAACAGACAAATGACCCCACAGAAACCCCAGAAGCTGTGAGATGAAGAAAACCTTTTCGCAAACTGATTGTCTCAGGAGTTTGTTATAGTAAGAGGAAACCCACATGGCAATGGTCAGCAAACTTTTCTATAAACGACACTGTAAATATTTCAGACCTTCCGAGGCCAGGTAGAGTCTCTATTGCACGTTCTTTAACTGGTGGTGGGGATAGGATCTATGTAGCCCAGGCTGCCTTGAAATCTTTATTCCTTTGCCTTAGCCTCCCTGTGCTGGGATTACAAGTGTGTGCCACTTTGCCTAACCTTTTTTTTTTTTTTCTATTTTTTTAAATCCTTTTTTGAAATAGTGATGGCCTGGAACTCCCAATGTAGGTCAGGCTAGCCCTGAACACACAGAGATTTGCCTGCTCCTGCCTCCTGAGGAATTAACATCAAGTTCAGCTAAAGCAATCCTTTCAAAAGCCTTAGCTCGAAAGTCTTCTAGATTTCCAATAGTTGCTAGGTCCTGCTCTGGGAGCCACCATACAAACATGGGTGGTGTGGCCTTGGGAACCCTATGCGGGGGTTGGGGTGGGGGGTTGGGGATGTGGGGTGTTACTTTGGAAAGTAAGGTTGGTCTTTGCAGCAGGGATCCTGTTACAGGCTGAGAATGCCTGCTTCCATCCTGTCCCCAGACTGCAGGAGCAGGAGCAGGACCAGACCAACACCCTGTACGTGAGGACTGGCTATGTAGGGGTAGAAGTCCTGAGGTAGGCAGATTTTAGTAAGTTCTTATACTGGATTTCCTTGCCTTGGTTTTAAAAGCAAATCCCCCCTATTCGAGGCATTTGTGGAATTTCATCACACAGATTATGTGGCCTCACCCTTCCTATGGCCCAGCAGTGGGAGAGGGGTGCAGACTCAAGTCTAACACCCTCCTCTTCAGCACCAACGCCACAGATAGTTCACAGGGCACCACCCCCTGCAGGAACTCAAGGAAAAGATCCAGCATGAGGACGGCTAGAATCCCAGGGTCAGGGCAAGTCCTCTGGGGCACGGTCCACACACGGACTGCCCAGCACCGCGCCGTCTACCTCTCCACTAGGGCTTTTCATCTACAACAGTCACTCTGAAGAGATGAGGAATCTGCATGACTTTCATCAGTTTGAATTCTTTTAAGTGGTCAGTGCAGCGTGCGCCACATCTTTTCTCTGAAGGTAACAGGGCTTTGGAAGCACCGTTCTCCTCTCATCTTAGAGTTTTAAAGTAGCTGAAGGTTCTCAAAACAGCAATTTGCTACCAACTCTGTCAACTTAAGTGCTGTGGAGCTGGGACATATGTGCTGCACCACCACCACGGCCACCACCACGGCCACCACCACCAAAACCAATACCTACTAAAAATACCCCCCCATAGGAATCCCCTGGATTTCAGCTAAATGAAACAACATAAAAACAAACGAACAAATGACACCCCACCAGCCTCACCTGTGCCCCCCCCAATCGTCCTGTTCATGTTTCTGCTTAAAACGCCAAATAGGTTTTCAACATATGCATTTATTTCTCGTTTTAAATTCAGGCTCTTCCATGGTATGGGCTTATAGTGAGAACTGTCACGCAGTGGGTGGAGTGTCCCAGAGAAAGCACTGAAGCCATCTGAACGGTGGGGTGCCAACTTGAAAGTGGAAGAGAGCAGCCCAGCACAGGCCTGCTTCTCAGAAGTGCTGGAGCACCCGCAGGGGACACTCCAGTTCTCAGACCACTAAACCAGGGGAACTTTAAAAACTTTCTGATTTAAAAATAAACAAACAAAACAAATGACCATACAAACAAAAACCCCTAATGCTGCTATAACAGGGCAACAGTTTCCTAAACCCAGGGACAAGAACGGCAATTCACAGGCATGTGCTTCAGCTGCAGCCAGACAAGGCTCTCCTCAGAGCTTCGTATCCGTCACAGCCCTTCATTCAGTAGTACCTCCCTGGGCCGATATTTTGTCAATTTTTGCTATGAATGACTGAATTCTTATGTACACAGTGTTCTGTCTGCATGTATGCCTGCAGGCCAGAAGAGGGCACCAGATCTCACTGTAGATGGCTGTGAGCCACCATGTGGTTGCTGGGAATTGAACTCAGGACCTCTGGAAGAACAGTCAGCGTTCTTAACCTCTGAGCCACCTCTCTGGCCCTGAATGACTGAATTCTTAAATCTGCAAAGAAAACACAGGTAGTGACGGACCTGAGCAACAAATAAACTCAAACACCTCTTCCAGGCTTGTGATTTTAGAGAGGAGAGAGAAGACCTAACTCACTTGTAGGTTCCATCCCAGGCCCAGCTGAAGTCCCATCCTCGCTGATGGGAACTTGCCCATTGCCCTCCACTATCCAAGTCATGCGCTGACAATGCAGCCCGTCCCAGAGACAGCCAAGGACCTTGCGTGGCAGAGACTGTGCAGCACAAACCAAGTGAGTTCCCTTTTCCCACTCCTCCAGTTAAAGCTGTACTCAGAATGGCAACAACTCTAGACAGAAGGGTTCACAATCAGTGGGTTTCGTTGTAACAGAAAGGAAAGGGGTCACAAAACCGTCTGAGCATACAGAGAAACCCTGAGGCGAAAATGGCTTTTCCTGTAGAGTCCTCCTCAAGCTGACACTGTGTCATAAGGGACCAGGGCCCTTCTGGGAGGGCAGGCCTTCCTCCATCCACAGAGAGCCAGTGCGGGGCGCCCTGCGGTGGATGCGCCGCAGCCGAAGCAGGTAGAGAAGGATGGACAGCAGGACAACCAAGAAGCAGCCAGAGAACAGATAGTGGTTGTAGACGAAGGACACACCCCGCCAGTGCCCGTGGCCAGCCCGGAACACCTCCTGCCGGATGTCTCTGCAGGCATGAAGACAAACAGAAGCAGTGAGAAGGGTGCAGGCAGGGGCCTGCTGTTCCTGGCATTCCTTCCCTCTGAAACGGGACAGTAGCCCAAAGTGAGCTCCCTGCCAATGCTATGCTCTTCATGCTAAGACAACGACATGTGGAAGCACGTCCATAAGACCCCAGCATTATAATCTCATAAATGTAAGGGCCAGGGGTTTGCTGTGACAAGGAAGTTAATGGAACAAACACATTCACATAAAAATTATACATAATAACAGCTACTGTACAGAATTTCTGGAGCTGACTCAAATAAAATATCAGATAAAAAGTTTTTAATGTGAGTCAGCTGAGCTGTGAACTTGAGTGGGGAAATCTGTATGTCTATTTGACCAACAGTGGACTGGAATTTAGAATTTTCTTTGGACATGAATCTATGTAGACAATGTCACAGTCTTAAAAGAAATTGACACTTCAATACTATGGACAATGACTGATGTTTTTAGTCCATTATGCTAGCCAGTGTCTCAGCTATCAGTCATCATCACGCTGAAGGAATGGACTTGATGGTTCTGCTGCCAGCCACTACAGGTTAGTGTGTAAATAAAGACGTCCTCCTACATCACAAATATGTTTGCTACAACAGTGCCATAAATGCATTTCAAAATAATTTCTTCTGCAATCCTAGACACTATAATATCCAGTGAAGGGGTCTAAAGCCATAAGGGTCACCATGGAACAGACCCTCCTGCAGGGTTAGGGAACAGACAACTGGGACGTAGAACAGCACCAGTGCTGTGTGCTGTGGGATGGGCTGCCTGAGAGAACAGGAAGCACTTGGGGAGGGAGGCAGAGAAGACCCAAGTTAAGTCTGGCTGGGCTCACAGCTCTGAAAACACGGCCACAAAATGCAGTCACCAAGAGAAACCATGCTTTGGAGAAGCATCTTTTGTGACCCTCCCAAGTTCATAGCCTACCTCAAGGGCAAAAAGCGGGTCCTGTAGAGGATCGCCCCCAGAGTCCACTGTACTTCCTTGTCATACACCTGCAAGGCTGTCTTCAGGTTTTTGTAGGTGACAGGAAAGGAGAAGCCCCTGTGGAACACCTCAAACATCCAGGCTGATTTGAAACACTGATACCTACAAATGCCAAGCACAGGCACAGGTCAGATAGGCACCCGTCTCAATGTCTCCAGCCTGCAGCAGGCCAGCTCCGAGCAGACAGCTGCATATGCGCTCAGGTTCACCCGCACACAGGCCGGGTCATCTGTCAAAACTAACGAGCCAGAAACAGTGTCATTTCATCACGGCTGTGAGATATCACCCTCCATGCACCTTCTCCATCATTTACTGAACAACACCGCCAAGTTCTACCCTCTTTATAACATAATGAAAAGGTGGGAGGATCCTTCTCAGCTCTGATATTGCCTACTCCTAATGCTCTTAGAGGTGGTTCTTGTTGTTTTTGTTTGTTTGTTTGTCTGCTTTAACAAACTACTGGACTCAGTAAGTGATGAGCAGTGGCAGTAATAATAAGACCCACTCGCCACACTTGAGTGACTTAAACCAAAGGGAATTTTATAAACCAAACCAGAGTGGCTTAAATTATCAGAGGAGTATTGTGAGTGTTGTGGGGAGGGATGGAGTCTGGCCGAGGGGACAGGTGGAAAGGGGCAGCAGCCCACACAACTCAATGTTCCTCAGGACATGAGCGAACAGGTGCAAAGAACTTCAAAGCTGAGCAGAAAGCCTGTAACAAGAATTCGTCCCACTCGAGGGAGGCCAAGGGTAGAGAAGGACAGTGGGTAAGGAGGGTCAGCAGGCAGCTCAGGACTTGACTGTCCACTACTTACTTCAGCCGATGGAGGTCAGCGTGAGAGGCATACAGTCCTCGGTCAAAGCGTTCCCTCAAGATCGACCACTTCGTTGCACAGTAATCCTAAAAATAATTTCACCCTAAATAAATCATCCCTGAAAGTTTATTATTAAAGTACTTTTCCTACTTACAAATGGCTTACCACGTTCACCATCATAACAAGCACAGGAAACACACAATCAGAACGAATATCTGTACAGTTAACGTGAGACTCGGGTCTCTGAGTTCCTGGCAACCAGCACACTCTGTACTTGTTCTATGTCCTGAAATCCTGCCCATGCAGGATGCACTGACCTCTTCAAGCCCATTTAGTTCTTCCGTCGTCACTGCACCAGAGCAAACTTGGGCAGAGTGAAACAGCATTTGCCTGCTCAACTGGGTCCTCAGGTCTGGGGCAGCTTGGCCTTGGGTGAGGATGGCGATTTGGAGTCACACTGACTGCTCACAGCCCTGAGCACTAACACAGCTCCTCTCCTCACCTCTCCAAGGTGACAAAGATGGGCTTAGAGAAACAGTGTGACAGGGAGCACAGAGGAAGAGTCAGGAATGAAGACACACACGAGAGAAGGTGCATAGCACAGAAGATACACCCGGCTGCTTGCCATGCTGAGAGGGCACTGAGCTGGTGGGAGGAGGAGTGAAGGCTAAGGTCAGTGGATTCAGCCTGTGAAGCTGCAGAAGACTTTAAACAGCACAGCAAGGTGACAGCGTGAGAGCTCAGACAGAACACCTTGGACAGCATGCGGGATGGACACCAGAGACACCAGACACAGGACCAATTGGACAGCTCCTGGTGAGCTAGAGACTTGGCAAGGACAATGACAGTAGAACAGGAAGCAGGGACAGGTAGAAAAGCACTCACGAGAGAAACTATTGCTGATTATATGGGGTGAAGCATATTACACGGAGGGACAGAGAACAGCAAAGGGGTTGGGGATGCAACTCAGTGAGGCAGCATTTGCCTGGCACGTACAAGGCCCTGGGTTCTACCCCAGCATTATAAATAAAACATAAGAGCCACACATGGAGGTAGGGGAGCAGGACAGTTGGCAATACTGTCAGCTAAGATGGCACACGAGAGAAAGAAAAGTGAAAAACTGTGTATTTGTTTGGAATTATGAAACTCAATGGGTAAAAGACAGGGGCTAAGATTAGAGACCGAATGTCAGCAGCCAGACAACTATGGCATGGATGGGGCAATCTACGAATCTATGAACCTGGAGGGCAATGGGCTGTGGCTGGAAGACAAGGGTCATCAAGACTGAAGAGGTATGGCAGGGAAAACTTCTGACAAAATAGGAAAGCAAAGGGACTCTGATGGTAGGAGTATCCTCGCTGCTATGTGGTGGGGGCCTGCTGAAAGGATTTTGAGATATGGCAATCGTAAGTCAACTTAAGACTCTGGTCTGTTCATTCCTGGTAAACAATGTGGCTAGTAGAACTTAGGTCTTCTGACGACTTCCCTCCCACAACAGAAGGGAAAAGATATCACAGGGATGCACTACAACCACCTTTCCCTCCGAGTATAATGGAAGCTGGACCTGCAGCCCAATGGTCTCTATACAGCATGGATTTTCTTGGCTTGTTACCTTGGCAGCTTTGGTAAATATAGCAGCATTGTAGTCTCCTCCCATTCGCAAGACATCCTCAGTGCAGTAGTAGAATTCAGAGAACCCATAGAATTCGCTGTTCTGGAAGTGGATTGGGGGCTGGTAGACTCCATTGAGGGAAGTCTGTGTCTCATTGGTTTTGTTCATAAAAGGCTGGAGGGTCTCCCGACACAGGTCGAAGTCTCCTGTCCCCCGGAGGTACAGGGTCTGCCCATTTTGCTGGATCTCATCCTTAATGTCAAGAGGCAAGCAGGGGTCCAGGTACGGAGCATCAGGAGTCAGGCCAGTCTGCTTACCCAGGAGCCTGTGGCACAAAGGACCATTTACCATGAGACCTATGCTACTCCTCACATGGACCCACAGAAATGTATGCGGGAACACAAAGGGTTCCAAACCAAGTTAGGAAAATGGTCACCCAGACCTCCGAGGAGATCCACAATGACATACACAGGTATTGCTGAGTCCAAGTAAACAAGCCAGGACCGGACTCATTTATTTGTGTGTCTATACCACAACATGTGTGTGGAGGTCAGAGAACAACTTGTAGAAGCTTGTGGTCTCCTTCTACATGTGGGTCTCAAGGATTTAACGCAAGTCATCAGGCTTCAGCAGCAAGTGCCTTTAGCCACAGGACCATCTCAGGGCTGACCTGACACTTTTGATTCCCCTCAGTACAGACAGGATGCCTGCTGAGGACCCAGCTACCGTGTGGCCCACATCCCCACTCTGCCACTGCTGCTTGACTTTAACCGTACAGAGCTGGATGTAGCGTGACTGAAAAGAAATACCTGGTCCTGGAACACCAGGTTGGATGTTTCAGAAAAACAAGATACACACTGCTAGAAAGCTACTGTCAGACTATGCATGGAAGATTAGAAAGCTGGGGAAAAGCAATTCTAGGAGGTGTACCAAATTGCTTGACAACATGTCATTATCTTGCTGGTATTCTTTAAACAGAGCCAAACTGACAGCTCAATGAAGATGCGGTGTGAGCAGGAAGAGATGGATGGAGTCCAGGGGGGCAGTAATTCATAGCCAAAGACCACCCAATGAATATGGGCGTGAGAATACAACGTGTAAGGTTTGAGCCTCTTCATCCAATTTTATTATGCCCATCATCATCACTATGAATCAACTACAGACTTAGACTGTAGTGGGTATTATTATTGCTATTGTTATTAATAAACTATTGGCCTAGACGGCAGTAGGTAGTAGCTGTTTTTGCTGCACTACAGGCTCTGAGAAGCCCTGTGAAAAGAACTGTTAGTCTTGCTGTAACTGAGATACACCAGGCTTGTCACATCCCAAAGAGATACACTGATAAACGAACCCCTGTCCTCCCAATGTGTGTGCATATTCAAGCAATCAATAAAAAGAAACCAAAGTTCTGAAAATGGAAGCGATGTTCACGTTGGACACCATGACTCTCGGTCTGACTGCTAGAAGCTGAATGCTGCTGGAGTCCCTCTCATTCATTGACAGCCTTTCCTGCCAATCTGAGCATTCTTTAGATCAGGGTTATTCAGAATGGACTTGAGTGCAACCCATAGAACTATGTGCTCTAAAGAAATGAAGCACCACCATGAGTGGCAGAGATAGGTATGAATTTCAAGGCTCAGTTAACGATATGTGTATACTTATGAGGAATTCTGAACAGTTAAACGTGTACCTCACACTTCTGTCTCAGCTGTCCTACACCTAGCTAACGAGTGCCACTGGACTATACATTATGCAAAGCTTTTTCTTTTAAATTGGCAATAAAACCCAATTAGTAAAACTCAGGAGTCAGAAGAAAAGTGTTGAGTAATTTTAAGAAAGTGAGATTTAAATTTATATTTCTATTTAAAAATTTTAAGACTATTATAAAAATAGCTATCACAAAATGTTCTAGATATAATTTTAAAACAAAAAGCATGGGACTACTGCTGTTGTGATTAACATTTCTCAATTAGCTTTTAAAATAATCAGAGAATCACTTCCTACTTATGGACGTGAATTCTGGGTAAACTTATACCCAGACCCAGCTTGGTCTTCATTATGTCTTAGGCCTTCATGGATACATTAAGACTGAATAGGTCAGGGCTGGAGAGATGGTTCAGTAGTTAAGAGCACTGGCTGCTCATCCAGAAGACCTAGGTTGATTCCCAGCACTCATATGGCAGCTCACAACCCTCTGTAACTCCAGTTCCGGGGCATCTAATGCCCTCTTCTGTTCTCACACATGATGTACAGACATACATGCAAGCAAAGACCATGCACATAAACACAACTAATAACATTTTTGAAAAGGATTAAATTGGCCAATGAAATATACTATTACTTAGCTCTAAGATCAGCATTTCTCCTAAAAAAATGTTCTATCAAAACAAACCAGACGCAGGAAGATCAAGGTGTCTTACCTGCCAGATGCTGCTCTTCTGCTTCCCACCCATTCCCCGTTCTGATGACATATTTCAGGTAAGTAACACCCTGGGTAGCCTAAAACTGTGCAGACCAGGCTAGCCACGAGCCTCTGCCTCCCAAGCGGTGGAATTAAAGGTGTGCGCCACCACACCCAGCTACACTTACAACACTCAAGCTGACAGGAGTGGTGCCTTTCTTTCACCTATTTTTCTATACCAGAATTTCACATAAACTCATTCTTAAAAATTTCACTCATAAAAATAGAAGGGGTTAAAAGCAAGGGATGATCTTTACTCATCTGATAGAGTGGAAACCTCCCCATCACTCCAGACTAGTTCTCGGATACTAGTCTGGATACTGCGGCTGATTGCAGAGGCCTGGAAAAGCTCAGATAGTGACACAGTGCTGCTGGTGCCCCACCCTGAAGCTCACACAGCAGCTGCCCTTAACCTCAGAAAGTTCAAATAAGGAATATTCTACAGACATTGGACACTGGTAGATGAGAACCATAGTGAAAGGGTTTAGGAGTAGGGAACGATCTCGAAATAATTTTAGTGGTATTAAAATATTTTTAGTCAGGCACTGGTGGCTCAAGCCTTTAATCCCAGCATTCAGGAGGCAGAAGCAGGAGGATCTCTGTGAGTTTGAAGTCAGCCTCATCTATAAAGTAAGTTCCAGGATAGCCAGGACTATTACCAAGAAATCCTGTCTCAAAAAACAAAAACAAAAAAAGAACAGTGTGTGTGTGTGTGTACAGTATAACAGTACATGCCTGTGAAGATCGGGTAGAGAGAAGATAGAAGAAGAGGGGAGGGAGGGAAGAAAGAGAGAATTTGCAGGCACAACTGTGGGACAGGGCTGGCAGCAGGACCCTGAGGGCCTCTCAGTCCTTCCAGCACAGTGGCAGCTGACAGAAGGTACCTGGCCTGGATCTAGTTTTGATGAGGAGCGAGCTAGGCCTGCAGTGGTTTGCTGAGGAGCAGCAGGTGCTGTACCTGTTTTTCTGAACCGTGCTGGCAAACAGTTTGTCTTCATATCTCTGCCGAGCGGCATTCCCACCGAACCCAAGAAATGTGGCCACATAGACTCGGTACACATGTTCAGTCTGGTGGACATCACACCCCAGGTTGAATTCAGCTAACAAGTTTTTAGCTACTTCCTCCTGTGGGCACAAGGACAACACATTTTAGTATTTTAAAGCAACTTTAGCTCCAGTTAAAAAAGAAGGATCTAAAAAGAGTTACATCTGAGAGCAGCAGACTCTGTCTCTCTACCTCCCAAGGATGCTCTGAGCACTTTCATAATTCGGTTCCTAATTCTAACTAGGGCCTGCAGATGCTGCACATGGGGGTGTCAGGGCTATAGTTCCTCTACTCTGACCCATAAGTCTATGTATGGTACCCCCTGCTGTGGAAATAGACCCAAACACAGCAAAGTCCTGACACGCAAAGACACTTTTATAAAAACAAATAAACAAACAAATAAAAAACCCTAAAAGGAAAGGCATCTGAGTATGCAACATTAAGGGAGGGTTAAATTAATTAAGGGCAGTAATCAATAGTTTATAGAGGAACACATTATGAACTTTAAATAAAAGGTACAAAATCATACAAAAGATAAAAGCGTAACAACCACATTTTGAAACTATAACAGGAATAAAAATAATGGAAAGAACTCCAAAATACTGACAAAGCCTTTTTTTAATTACTAACAATAGTGAATCTAGGGGGAATTTTTATTCTCCTATTGCTCTAAGCTTCCTTTGTGAGCTCTTAGTACTTTTCAGTGAGGGTAGACAGCATGAGTGGTAGTCTCTAGACTACCCATATCTGGAAGGGAAGTGGGAAACACAGGCTCAAATACTTGGATTTCCAAAGTGCTTTTCCAAGGACTTAATAAAGACAGCAATAACACCCACTGAGTACACACTAGGGAACAGAGTGCTAATCTCTCATCAACCATTCAATGACCCCATGCTATAGGGCTATTGTTGGCATGTTTTTCCAGAAGAGACTGGCTCACAGAAGTTATAGGACTTCCATGAGGTCACACAGCTAGGAGGAGAGGGTGATGCTACCTGCTGGGCTTGTCCTGCTGCATGGCCCGACTCTGAACCACTACCTGGTACATGATTCCTACTTTGGGGGGAAACAATGTAGGAGACCATACTTTGGTGTCAATTTACATCTGGACAGAAACAGTAACGAGAGATGTGGCGATTCTGGGACACATAAGGAAATGGCTCTGGTGTCCTCTTGGCAAGGACCGCTGAGGACCACAGACCCTGACTGACAGCACTGAAGGGATGGAGGAAAGACGGAATGAACCAGATGTGGAGTAACAGGTAGCAACATCAGTATTTTCCAGAAGAGTTCAAAATTATTAAAACACAAAAGTGATCCTCCTGATTCTAAATTTAGAAACCTGACACTATATTATTTTTTAAGTGACCAAAGAGAAAATGTAAACAAAACCTCAAGCATGCGACTGACATACACCAGAGAAGAACTCTAAATTCCGAAAACAAACCAGCTAGGCTCAGTGTACAAACGTAATGGGCTTGGCTGAGGCCTGCCTCATTCTCCAGCCTCCTTCCTCCTGGGTTGAGAAGATGGAACCTCAGCAAGCAGAGTAAGGATGTGTTCAGACTCAGGAAACAAAACAAAAATGGATGGAGACATGTTAAATGAAAACGGAAGCAAACACGAGGCAATCTGTACAGATAATAACCTGCTGTGAGGAGGCAAAGCTTACAGTTTTGGGGACTTCGTACGCTATCTGAGTAGACACGCCTCCCATGTCAAGAATACCGGCTGTCCTTTTCCGAACGATGGCCTCACTGCTCTCACTGCCAGGAACGTTGACCTCCACAACCGCCTCGTCATCTGGAGAGAGAAGGGTCCACTCAGCAGGCGCTTCGGGAGGCACACTCTGCTTTGAAGACCGTGCAGTCCATCCTCCCGATGAGCTCAACTGTGCTTTAGACAGCAGCTCTGCCTGCCCAGCCCCCATACTCGCCATCCCACAGCACTCAGCTCTTCTGCCCTTGGACATGAATTATGATTGATTGTAACTTCCAACCAGAGCACTAGACGAAACCAACAGGCACTTACCCTCCTCAATATGCTCAAACCGTCCGAGGACAAAATTGATGCCAATCCAAGCATACACACCTAGACATTGCAGAGCAAAATTAAGAAAAATCAAGTTTTAAACCTCTGATCAATTTGGTCTGCACAAGCTTCTCACTTATTTTAACCCCTGACATCCTGAGACAGAATCACCAAATAACATATTTCTACTGATATTTTATCTTCTTAGTGGTTTTACAAGAACTCTCAATTTTAATACTTACATCAGGTGCATCTGTTGAAAATATAAATTCTACGGGGATTCCACACTGACTTCCCCTAATCTTCCCTCTATCTTTCTCACCTACAACAGCTGCCAAACCCCAGCCTATACATGTCAGCATTCCCTACAGTCTGTTTTTATCCGTTCCCACTGCCACCTTGACTTGTGTCTTTATGCAGTGGAGATGACAAGCTAATCAGTCTTCCATGGCAACCTCCTCCATTCTATCCTGTTGGACTGGTCCACAGACAAAGTACAAAGTAACAGGCTGATAATTCAAGATCTATCCAGTGTTCAACATCAACACCACCTTTCCACAGAGCCACAATCCATCAAGCGGAAACCCAGTGGTCCACTGTGGCATCCCCTCCCACCTTCAGTAACAGTGATCATTTCTTTTCATCGGGCCATGCTTCCTCTACCTGCTCAGGTAACTTCCTCTGCTCCCCTCCCAAGGGTTCAACTTATAACCATTCCTGGGCAGGGGGAGGAAGAGACACCTGCCTCTTTCACACTCTCAGGATATTTTTTCTCCCCTGTATCTTCCTAATGTGACCTCTTACAGTTCTGAGGGCCTTTTTTGTAAGGTGCTCACTGCTGATTGGCCTATTCTGCATTTCCAGATGCCTTCCCATAGGGAACACCTGCTGGAGCAGTGAGTGATCTAGGAACAGATCCCATACTTCTAGGTCTCTGCTCCTAGCAAACCATTACACTGACTGGTTGTTTCTTACTCAAGTGAAATAATTTGTCGGAAACAGAATTAATATTTTCTTAGTTTATTAAAGGCAAGAATTTCTCCTTACTAGAAGTCAGAGGTTCATGGCCTAAGACTTTTTACCAGCCAGGCAAGGAACACAGTCTTCCTCTATCAGTTTGTTCAAAATACAGTCCCTAAATGTGGTAAGGACAGATGAGGTATGTTTAGCAGCTTTAGGGCTATATAATAAAGACTGGCTATATAGGGCACTAACTTAGTCATTAAAGTGTCTCTCAAAAATATGGTCTCCAGTGGTTCAATACAATGCACAGTGGGGAGGGGGCCTGTGAAGTGGGGACCCCTCTCTCACTCACTCTGTGAACTGAAGGTCTGATACCAACCTTCTTGTTTCCCTGAGATGACTTCAGCATGGGAGTCAGAAAACAGGAAGTCAAAGTGCACAGGGATGTCGGTCAAAAGGTCCTCCAGGATGGCTTTCTGCTGGCTTCAAGGCAATCCCAAAATTTACATGTCAAAATCATATGCTTGATTTGTTTTGAAAACAAAAACAAACAAAAAACTGTATGACTCTGTTATATCCTATACGAAATAGTTAATTGTAAAACTAAAGTGATTCACTGAAAAAAAAATTGCTTATCTCAGGAATGTTCTTTTCCAAATGAAAAAGCTGTGTAAATCGTGTAATTCTTGGCTTACTGGGAAGAATGCTTGTCTAGCATGTACCAAGTTCCGACACCAGCACCGTATAAACTGGGCACGGTGATAAAAGCCGCAACCCCAGCATGCAGGAGGTGGAAGTAGGTAGAAGGATTGGAGATTTAAGGTCAAACACAGGTACATATTTAGTTTGGGGCCAACCTGGGATATGAGACTGTTGTAGGATATTTGTACACTGTGTGAAGGTGTATTGCTGTGATTGTTGAAATAAAAAGCTGAACGGCCAGTAGCTAGGCAGGAGGTATAGGTGAGATTTCCAGGGAGAGAATAGAAGAGAATAGAGAATCTAGGCACGCGGGAGATGTCAGGAGATGGGGAAAGGAAATAGGAGGTACAAGACTGAAGAAAGGTAACTCCACATGATAGAACGTAGATTAATATATACATATTATTTATATATTTATATTATATTATATAAATAATATAAATATATAAATGGGTTAATTTAAGTTATAAGAGCTAGTTGGGAACGAGCCTAAGCTAAGGCAGAGCTTTCATAATTAATAAGCAGTCTCCATGTCATTATTTGGGAGCTGGCTGGCAGGACAGAGAAAGACTCGCTACAGGTGACTCTGCCCCCAAGCCCCACAAAGTTAACCTTATTATTTTAATCACAAATAAGTAGATTAGAAACTCTTTGGTGAGGTTTAAGAGAATGGCTCTGAGACTAGTCCAGACTCAGAAAGGATCTCCAGTGTCTGATGATAACAGTGATGGAGAAGAGGGCAGCGAGCCGCCCCTCCCAAGGTCCACCCTCCAGGCAGATCACCTCTCAGGAAGGACTCTCATTCCAGCAGTGCAGAGAATGTAGAGAGGGGTCTCTTTGTGTTTTGCCCGTGGCACATGTTCTGCAGCAAAGTTCAGAAGTGGAGAAATGTAATCGCTGACTTTTTCTGGAGAGGTAGCAAATTCTGAGATGCCTGCAGAAAGGGAGAGTCTGCTTAGCAGGGACGTGGCGGAGCTAAGAGTAAAGTTCTTCAGTGTGCTGAGTCTGTATTCTAGTTCTGCCTGTTCTGCTACTTCCCCACACTCTGCTGAGGCACGAAGGGTTGTTACACGCCCTCTTCTTTCATGGATACTTATCCAACTAGCATCTACTACATGTCCCACACAGGAGCATATTCTTGCCCTTGGAAATGTGTGTCTTTCTCCTCAGGCAAACTCCAATGGCTGCAAAGCCACCCACACACCATGGGTCTTCAGATTGCAGCACCAGCCACCAGTGCGCTCCCAACCTTCAGGTCAGTTCACAATGGCTGTCTAATGCACACAGCACTGCTTGTCCTCACAGACACGTGTTCCGCAACTGGTCCTACAGATCTGTCTCTGCTGTTTGTTCTACTTCTGCTCTCCTTGTTTCTCTGGACACTACCATCTGCTGCTGGCCTAGTGTAGCCAACTACCTTCCAGGCTCCACCGACCCCTCCATCTCCTACCCCAAGGATGCTTCGTTTCTATTTTAAACCCTTCTATGGCTCCTCTAACCAACTCAGACAAACTCAACTTAGAGATACATAGCTACTCACACAATGGCCCGCCCTTGTTTCCTCCCAAGTCCCTTCCTTCCATCTCAAAGCACTGAACTAACACTTCTGGCAATGTAACCTACTGTGGCCTTCATTGAGTCCCCAGCAGAAAGAGCCTTCTCTTCCCCTCCCTCCTTTACCCAGCCAGCTTATACATGCCTACACTATCAAAATAATGGGGGCCTGAGAAGTCCCACAGTTTCTTACTTCACACATTACAGAACTGTAGACCCATAAAGATGGTGAGTGAAAGGAATCAGCAGAAAATGGAGTAAAAGGCAAAACTTTCTGCACACAGAGCTGTTTCAGCAGAAAACCAAATCCCAAACCAACCAGAACCTATTTTTAAAATGCTTAGAGCCTTGTTTATATTAATTCTGGGAGATTAGGAGTCAAGACAGAGCATTGCTATAAAAAGGCACACTGAGGTCTGACTGGCTGAGCTTCTAGTGTACACCTCAATGGGGCAGCGTTGCTCAGCTGATCCACCCTGTGAGGCAGAACCATGCTGAGCCTGCTCTGACTGAGATCCTGGTACACTTCCATGAGGACATGGGTTTCCAGCTCTCCATGGAGATGTTCAGTTAGTGCTGGGGGCTGTCATGTGAGGCTTGGAGAAAGGCAAAGTGTTCTACTGAGCTTGAGTTCTGAGTCTCTTGGTAAATTTTTATATGATTATACTTTTATTATGTTAACCCTGAAGATGTTTCTCTATTAAGCATACATACAGAACAATGGAAAATTAAAAGTTACTACTAAATATTAAAATCTCTATTTATGGAAATTCATAGATGCTATTATGCTTCTCAGATGGAAGGTAATAAGCTTTATTGATTATTACTTATCAATAGTCTACTTTAAACTTTTTGTGTCACATTACAATTATCTGTACTTATGGGGTATAGCGTGATGATCAGATACGTGAGCAAAAAGCAACAATCAGAGGGAGCGACTAGCACGTCCATCTCTGAACACTTATCATTTCTTTTTGTCTTTCTAACATTTAAAAAGATAAATTCATTGGATAGTCTGCATTTAATATTTAGGCACTCACACACTAGTGAAAGAAAGATGTTTCTGTTACGTTCTACAGCCTACTGTCTTAAATCAGATCTTATTAAATATTGGGCATGAGATAGCCCTCTTAAAAATGCTCCATTCCCAATGCTTCTGACATGGTGCCAACCATGGGCAAGGCGGAGATCCTGAGAAGGTGAGAGACTGCTGCTTAAATCGTTCAGTGAGGAAGTCAAGACTCGACTTCACAACATTACACTGGTTTAGAAATCTTTAAACACTGGGTGTATTTACATTTACTTTTTTAAATCCCAAGGTTACCCTTATGAATAATCTAGGACATAAAAATACATCTGGGTAAATGGAGCCTAGTGACCTGAGGCAGGATTGGATGCTGAAGGTCAGCCTGGGTATCTTAGTAAGATAATGTCTCAAAAAGAACAAGTGGTGGGGATGTAGCTTGGGGTAGAGCACTTGTCTAACATATGTGACTATGGTCACAACCAGAAAAGAAAGAGAAAGAGGCAAGGGAGGTAGGGAAGGAGAGAGGAGAGAGAAGAGAAAAAGGGTAGGCAAGGAAGGAAGATAGATATCTGGGCAGTAATTTTCAAAAAAATCACTAATACATACCAATATTTAAACAAATAATATGCTAATATTTAAAGTACAGATTGTTATAAGTTATTGAAAATGTCTATCTTTAAGGAAGAACTACCAAATAGGAAAAACAAAGAACAAAACCTCCACAACAATGTTAACTAGCATGTGAGCAGACATCGTGGGGCTACAGTGATGATAGTCACAGATGACCAAAAGGACACAGACTGTGGAGGTTTGAACAAGATGTTGGTCACATACACAAAACAGACAGAAAAGGAAATGGAAAGGGAAACAAAGGCAGCCATTAGGCTCTGTCTCACGCTCAGAAGAGGGCAAGGCAGTGTGGGGTGAGAGGAGAGGAGAGGACGTGAGCTGTATCACAGGATACTGGAGCCCAGAACCCAGTGCTAGTCCTCAGCCATTCTTATCCCATACCAGGTTTAATTTTCATCACCACCGGCTTTCGGTTTTTGTCCCTCATCTGTCTGATGTCCAGCAGATCATGAGGATTGCCGTTGTGCCGAGGCCAGCAATAGACAAATATCCGAGAGCCGCTACTGCCGCAGTCCACCACAATGCCATAGTTCACGTTGGGGTTGTTGGTGTCGGTAGCCTCAAAGTCTGTGACTCGGGCCAAGTACCTTGTTCAGAAACACACAAGTGTTGTCACTTAAACAGAGCATCACCCACTCTAACAGAGAAGGCGCCCTACAGAAGTACCATATCACGACCGCCACGTTGTGTAATGATCTCTCTCTGGCACTCTCTTCATGGCCAAATGATGAGTCAAAAGAAGACCAAATGAAGGCTGCCCACAGGGAGCCTCTCATTCAGGTCTGTGCTAACCTCTCCTTAACACAGCTACAGGCTCCAGAGAGAAAACTGTTTCCAAAGTACAAATGTTAACTCAGAAGGCAGTTTAAAACAGGCAGAAGGAGCTCCTGACTGTCCTATCCCAGGGCCTTCCCTGTGGCCAGCTGTCAGTACGTCCACGCAGGCTCATTTCCTAGCAGGCAGTCAGCAGGCCCAGTTCTCACAGCCACATGCTCCTTATATGCCAGTCCAGCCATAACAGGACGGTGCCAGAGCTGACCATTCCTGTCCCTCTGATGTTAGTTTGCTGTGAGTCTAACCACGAGTGCAGTACTGTCCTCTGGGAAGAGGTCAGATCAGGAGGAAGGAGACCTCAGAGCTACCCCACCCCTTCCCACCATGTGAGCTGGGACACGGCTTTAACCAGATACAAACTTCACTGAAACCTAGCTCTTGGACTTCTCAGCCTTGAGAGCTACGAGAAAACAACTCTGCAGCTTATAAGCTGCCCTGTGTTCTGTTACAGAGCTGGAACACAGTCAGCCAAAGGTTTGAATTCCTTCTAGAACAAATCTTTATCTCTTACCTTTGAGATTTCTTGTCCTTCGACAGCCACCCATACTTGCTGCGTATGATAACGACAGAGAAGTACAGAAGGGACACAGCTGCAGCCAGGATGCTAATGACGATGATCTGGCGTAAACTGGTGTTTAGGAATCGAGGACAGCCCACTGGAGAGATGCTAAAATGCCAAGAAGCAGGAAAGAGACAGGAAATGCCGATCCTGAAATTCCAAAGAAACAGATTTTAAAACAACATACTTGGATGAGACCTGGCCTCACCTGAACAGGTGTTCAGCACGAGCTCCCCCTGCTTGCTGTCTGCTCTTCCCATGCCCCAGGTTGCTGCTTGGTTATGGAGCACATCACTATAAAATGGCATAGTGAGAATGACACCCTGCTGGTTATGATATTCTGCATGTCCCCCTTTCTCGGGAGTATTACAAAATTTCCTGCCTTTTTCCAAAAAGAAATCCCGTTCATAAGTTTATCCAGATAAACACAGAAATCTAAAATGAAACCAGTTTAAGAATGAGGACACCAAAGGAGACTGAGGACACAGAAATGGCAAGCTGCAAGCTACCCCATAAATGCCAGCAGCCTAGTGGATGACACATTGCGCATTAATGAGCCAATGGCTTAGGAGAAGTGAGATTTTCTTAACAAGCAATTCTAGAGTAAATTTCTCCCCAATGACCCAGTAATGGGAAAAACAGTATTGCCATAATGAAGTCAATAAGGAACTCAGATTTTAGAAAGAGTCCCCTGAGACATGTTTTATAAACAGGAAGGATTCAATTTATGTCATGAAAAAGAAGCAAACTGTAGAGCCATCAGCAGGCACTGCATTTAGGGTAAATTTCATTACTTCATACTTTCTTTGTGTTAAAAAGTCCTTTATGGACTAAAATCTCTTGCTGAAGGAGGTACACTGCCAGCCCACTGAAAATTCCCTTCCTAAGATTTCTGAGGACACTCCATGGCATCTGCCTTCATCTTCTTCACCTCAGAGGCTCTAGACAGCTATCCTATGCTAATATAACATCCCAAGATACCATGTGCTTGCTGAGACTGCAATTTACACTAACCCTTATAGAGCTCACCTGGCTCCATTCTTTCTGTGACAAGGGCCGTGTTGGGCTCTGCAAGACCAATGGCTTTAGAGCAGTATAACACAACTTCAAACACTTCTCTCTTGGGATTTAGATTTTCTTCTCTCTTAAGATTCATTATTTCCTCAGGGTTTACAGGCTAGTGACATCACTCACCTTCCCATACTGAAAGGCCGCGGACCAGGCAATGTTGTGGGAGTCAGCTATTGTCACGCACAAAGACAGAATGAGAGCTAGAGTCTTCATGGAGCCAGAGCTTCCCTGTTTCAGGGTGAGAAAAATCAAGATCAGTGAAATCAAATAAAATGTTTGTGGTTCTACTAAGTACATGGTTAAACTCAGCCATACATCACCTGACTGTGATCCCTATGTGGAGAACACTGGGTTAGAACAACATGTTTGTACACTAATTTCATGCTGCTAGAGATACAGACCTCAATCAAGAGATGCTAAGAGTGGTACAAGTTATTACTCCAAGCATCCCTATAATCTCAAATTTTCATGGCATTGTTGAGGGATAATGGTCTGTATTCTGTGAATTATATTTTAAATAAACACTGATTGGCCAGTAGCCAGGCAGGAAGTATAGGTGGGACAACAGACAGGAAGTAGAGGCGGGTCAATGAGAACAGAACTCTGGGAAGAGGAAAGCTTGGTCACAGGCTTTCCACAGAAGAAGTAAGATATGACTACCTTGCTGAATAAGGTACTGAACCATATGGATAACATAGACAAGAATAATAGGCTACTATAAGTTATAAGAGTTAATAAGAAGTCTGAGCTAATGGGTCAATCAGTTTAGAACTAATGTAGGTCTCTGTGTGATTTCTTTGGGACTTAATGATTACGGAAACCAGGCAGGACAGAAACCCAGACAACAGGGCATGAAGTAATTATAGCACTGAAATGTTAAGGAAGATTTGGAGGTCACTTGATGGACTACTCGACTTTGCTTTGCTGTACAAAGTTCAGTGTGAGGTGCTGTCCCTGACAGTGCTCCATCCTGTCACCATCCTCATTCCTCCAGGCCTCAGCCCTTATGTCACAACATCAAACCCCACAAATTAATAGTGGGAACTTTAACACCCCACTCTCATAAATGGGAAGGTCTACCAGACAGAAACTTAACAGAGAAATAAAGGTACTAATAGATGTTATGACTCAAATGGGCTTAATAGACATCAACAAACCATTTCACCCAAACACTAAAGAATATACCTTCTTCTTGGCACCTCATGGAATCTTCTCCAAAATCGACTACATACTCGGTAACAAAGCAAATCTCAACAGATACAAAAAAATTGGAATAATCCCATGTCTTATTAGGATCATCATGGCTTAAAGTTAGAATTCAACAACATTAATTGCGGAAAGTCACAAACACATGAAAATTGAACAACGCTTGAATGAACCACCACTGGGTCAAGGATAAATAAAGAAATTAAAAACTTCCTAAAATTCAATGAGAATGACTGCACAACATACCCAAATCTATGGGACACAATGAAAGCAGTGCTAAGAGGAAAGTTCATAGCACTAAATGCCTACATAATGAAGCTGGAAAAATCCTACACTAGCAACTTAACAGAACACCTGAAAGCTCTAGAACAAAAAGAAACAAACTCTCCCAGGAGGTATAGACTACAGGAAATAATCAAATTGAGAGCTGAGACCAACAAAATAGAAACAAAGAAAACAGTACAAAGAATCAATGAGACAAAGAGTTTGTTCTTCGAGAAAATCAACAAAATAGACAAACCTTTATCCAAACTAACCTAAAGTCAGAGAGAAAATATCCAAATTAACAAAATCAGAAATAAAAAGGGGAACATAACAACAGATACAGAGGAAATTCAGAGAATCATCAGGTCATATTTCAAAAACCTATACTCCATAAAATTGAAAAACTTAAAGGAAATGGAAAATTTTCTGGATTAAGTACCACATACCAAAATTAAATCAAGACCAGATAAGCAAATTAAATAAACCTATAACCACTAAGGAAATAGAAACAGTCACCAAAAGTCGCCCAACCAAAAAAAAGTCAAGGGCCAGATGGTTTCAATGCAGAATTCTACAAGAACTACAAAGAATACTAAGACTCCTTCAAACTGTTCCACACAATAGAAAGAGAAGGAATATTGCCAAACCCTTTTTATGAGGCTATAGTTACCCAAACCACGCAAAGACACTACTAAGAAAGAGAATTACAGACCAATCTCACTCATGAACATTGATGCAAAAATACTCAATAAACTACTGGCAAACCAAATCCAAGAACACATCAGAAAAATCATCATGAAAAGTAGGCTTTATCACAGAGATTCAAGGATGTTTCAACATATGAAAATCTATCAACGTAATCCATATAAACAAATTGAAAAACAAAACAAAACACATGATCATCTCATTAGATGATGAAAAAGCCTTTGACAAAATTCAACATCCCTTCATGATAAAGGCCTTGGAGAGAGCAGGAACATACTAAACATAATAAAGGCAATACACAGCAGGCCAACAGTCAACATCAAACTAAACAGGGAGAAACTCAAAACTATCCCACTGAAATCAGGAACAAGAAAAGGCTGTCCACTCTCTCCTTATCTATTCAACATAGTACTTGAAGTTCTAGCTAGAGCAATAAGACAGCAAAAGGAGATCAAGGAAATATAAATTGGAAAATAAGTCAAACTTTCATTATTTGCTAATGATATGTTAGTGTGTGTGTGTGTGTGTGTGTGTGTGTGTGTGTGTGACCCCAAAAATTCTACCAGGGAACTCCTACAAACTAATAAATACTTTCAGTAATGTAACAGGATACAAGATTAACTAAAAAAAAAATCAGTAGCCCTCCTATATACAGATCATAAATGGGCTCAGAAAGCAATCAGAAAAACATCACCCTTTACAATAGCAACAAATAATATAAAATATCTTGGGGTAACTCTAACCAAACAAGTGAAGAACTTGTATGACAAGAACTTTAAATCTTTGAAGAAAGAAATCAAAGAAGGCATGAGAAAATGGAATGATCTTCTATGCTCTTGGATAGGCAGGATTAACATAGTAAAAACTGCAATCTTACCAAAAGCAATCTACAGATTCAACACAGTACCCATCCAAATCCCAGCAAAATTCTTCACAGACCTCGAAAAAACAATACTTGACTTCTTATGAAAAACAAAAAACCAGGATAGCCAAAACCATCCTGTACGATAAAGGAATTTCTGGAGGCATCACCATCCCTCACTTCAAATTCTACTACTGAGCTACAGTACTGAAACCAGCCTGGTATTGGTATAAAAACAGACAGGAGGACCAATGGAACCAAATCGAAGACCGATTATCAATCACACACCTATGAACATCTGACTTTTGACAAAGAAGCTAAAAATGGAAAATGGAAAAAAAAGCATCTTCAACAAATGGTGTTGGTAAAACTGGATGCTGACATGTAGAAGAATGCAAACAGATCCATACCTATCATCATGCAAAAAACTCAAGTCCAAGTAGGTCAAAGACCTCAACATAAAACCAACCACACTGAACCTCATAGAAGCAAAAGTGGGAAGTATTCTTGAAATCATTGGCACAGAAGACCACTTCCTAAATATAACACTAGTAGCACAGACACTAAGAGCAACAATTAATAAACGGAACCTCCTAAAACTGAAAAGTTTCTGCAAAGCAAAAGACAGTCAACAAGACAAAATGGCAGCCTACAGAAGGGAAAAGATGTTCACCAACCCCACATCCGACAGAGGACTGATCTCCAATATATATAAATAACTCAAGAAACTGGACCCTTAAGTACCAAATAATCCAATTTAAAAATTGGGTACAGATCTAAACAAAGAATGTTAACAGAAGAATCTCAAATGGCTAAAGACACTTAAGGAAATGCTCAACTTCTTTAGCCATCAGAGAAATGCAAATCAAAACAACTCTGAGATACCATCTCACAACTGTCAGAATGGCCAAGATCAAAAACACTGATGACAGCTTATGCTGGAGAGGCTGTGGGGTAAAGGGAACACTCCTCCATTGTTGGTGGGAGTGCAAACTTGTACAGTCACTTTGGAAATCAGTATGGTGGTTTCTCAGAAAATTAGGAATCAATCTACCTCAAGACCCAGCAATACCACTTTTGGGCATATACCCAAAGGATGTTCAATTTTACCACAAGGACATTTGCACAGCTATTTTTTGTAATAGCCAGAACCTGGAAACAACCTAGATACCCCTCAACCAAAGAATATAGATAAGGAAAATGTGGTACATTTAACACAATGGAGTACTACTCAGCAGGAAAAAAAATGACATCTTGAAATTCACAAATAAATGGACGGAACTAGAAAAAAACATACTGAGTGAGATAACCCAGGCCCAGAAAGACAAATATAGTATGTACACACTCATAAGTGGATATTAACCATAAAACCTATAGTCCACAACCCCAGAGAACCTAAACAACAAAGAGAACCCTAAGAGAGAAAAAAGACAAGATCTCCTGAGTAAACTGGGAACGTGATGGACAGGGGAAAGGTAGAAGGGGAGAAGGGAGGAAGGAAGGAGAAATGTATAGCTCAATAAAAACAATAAAAAATAATTGCTTTGATCATAGTATTTCTTCAAACAGCAAAACAGTGACAAAGACAATGCCCATCTGGTCCATGCAGCAATTTTTTGGCGAGTCTTACCTCTATGGGAGGGTATCAGATCCCCTGGAACCGGAGTTACAGACAGATGTAAGCTGCTACATAGGTACAAGAAATTGAATCTTGGTCCTCTGGAAGAACAGCTAGTGCTGTTAACTGCTGAGCCATCTCTTCAGCCCTGTCTCTCCCATTATGAAAAAAAAAAAAAAAAGAAGATTCACATCAGCCTTGATGCTTATTTGGTGAAAAACACAGACATAGTAAGCAAGTATTATGGGACGTGGGTTAGTGTGACTCTTCATCCTGTGATAAGCCCCTGGGAGAAAGCCTTTTACAGTGCAAGGACTCATTTTCGCTCACAGTTTCAGAGGTCATGGCAGAGCAGCACACAGCATGGCAGCCAGGAAGTAGAAAGAGGGCACAGGAAGAGAATGCTGAGCTAGCCCTAACTGGCTGCTTCCTTTTCCTCTTCAGACTCCATTGATGTACCCAGCTATTGGGTAGTACCTCAGATCCAGAGTGAAGTAATCTGCTCTGTCAATCCCCCTCACAGACATGGCTGAGAGTGGCATGCCTTCACTCTGAGTCCTTTCTCAATCCAAC